GCTAAAGTAAGTCCATTTTCCTCAGCTTCATTAGCTTATTACGGCAGCTCAGCGCCTGCGATACTCGGGATAGGCCGCCCCGCAGTACACGCGTGCACTGAAGGACAGATATTGCCTACCCATCAGGCGCCATGGGTGATCGTGATCGCATAGGCAGAACTTGGCAGTTTCGCAACGGCGCATGACGGACGTATGTTCTGAATGATCCCCAACTACAAAAGGCCTAAACCGGTTTATCTTAAACCGAATGAAAAATGGATTCGTTCTGTACTGAAAATCTTAATTACGAGGACAAGTCGTCGTTGGACGCATCACGGATGGCAATGGTGAAGTTGAGCCTCTCCGCCAGCAGCTGCAGCAGGCGTATTTCGATGCCATCCCAGTGTATGTCCCCGTCACTGTTTAGCACCCTGCCCACACAGCCACGTGAAAGCGTCAGACAGGTTCAATAACACACCCGTTGATCTTACTCGAAAAGCATTTGGTCAGCTTACGTCCGGTACAAATACGGAGGCATTTCAGCGGCGGACACGCCGAACTGATGGCCGGCGAAGCCCTCGAGCATCTTGATCGGGAAGAGGTTGGTGTCCGGGCGGGTGAGCCGGTCGCAGCGCCAGGACGTCAACACCTGCGCCTTGGAGTAGCCAAGCGAGTCCATGAAGAGGCGGTGCGTGAGCAGGTTCATGTCCGGGTAGCCAGTCGCGGGCGAGCCGTGCCGCCAGGAGCGGTCGTGCACCACGAGCAGGTTGCGGATGTTGCGCGCTATGGAGCTGCCCAGGTAGTCACGGATGCGCCAGAGCGGCGAGCGAGTCACCACCACGACGCGGGGCTCGCTGAGGTTGCCCAGCAGCGAGCCCACGGCCATCACGTCGTCCACGATGGCCAGGATGTGGCGGCACTTCTGGCGCGGCGGGAGGACGTGGCGCCAGGAGCCGCGCCGGCGGCGCGCGTCTGCAGCACAGGAAGGTCAGAGACAGAGATCAGGGTGGTGCGGAAGCGAGAGGTCTGACACGGGGGACGCGGCCTGCTCACACGGCGGGCTGACGGGCTGGTACAGCCAGGGCGGCGCGGTGTTGACGGGCGTCCTGGCGAGCACGTACGGCCGCGTCAGCGCGGCGATGATCTCGCGGAGCGTGTCCTCGCCGGCGGGGATGGAGGCGTCCCAGATGAGGGCGGGGTCGCAGCCCTCGAGCTCGTGCTCCGCCAGCCTGGCGACCAGCGCGGGCACGGGGCCGGGCGACCCCGGCCGGGGGAAGCAGCGCTGCTTCTCCACCGTGGCGGCCCAGATGGTTTCTGCGCGGGCACAGGGCGGGATGAGCTTGCGTCCGGCAGGACGACTACCTCGCCCGTGGTCGTCATCGGCCTCGCCCACAGGGTGGCTCATGGGCACCGTTCTTTCTTCTTGCTTGGCGTGCGGCGCTCGACTATTGTCGCTAAGTTAAGTTCATGAATGGTGTCATTGACGTCAAATTGTTACATTGTTTGAATTCTTACTCGTCGCTCACCGAGGTGCCTTTACGGCCCCGTGCGAGTATGCACCCCGTCCGCACGCCTGCTACCTGTACTGTACCGTATAAACCAGAAGAAAGAACGGCGCCTCTGGCCCACCCCTGGCCCCCTGAGGGCGACTCAGAGCAGTGTCAGTGCCCTCACCTGGGGCGACGGTGGCGCGGATCAGTTTGCCCATCAGGTGCGCGACCAGGGGTTGGAGAGGTCTCTCGGGCCGGACGGGGGTGGGTTCCGTGACGTTGAGCCCGCCCCAGGACCACGGCGGCCAGGTGCGAGCCGCGGTGGTGGGCTCTCCCCAGTACCAGGTCGTGGCGGTCGTGGTCGGATCGACGGCCGTGGTGGACTCGAAGTCGCTAGCCGCGGTCAGGTCGGAGACCGTGGTCATGTCGGCAGCCGTGGTCATGTCGGCGGCCGTGGTCATGTCGGCAGCCGTGGTTGACTCGGCGGAGGACATGCCGCACCACAGCAGCGCGACCGAGAGCGCAACTCGCAGCCCCGCGGGCCCCAGCGAGAAGGACGGCATTCTCCCGGTAACTTTAGAACACCAAGCGGGTGTCCTACATGGCCCACCCTCTGCGGCAGGACTGCTCCGTACGGCGAGGAGCGCGTCAGCTCTGAGGACGATACTGCCTGCGGCTTGTGTATGTGAAAGGGAGGAAAGGGGGGCGGGGAGAGGGCAGGTCACCCCAGTGATGAGAAATTCATAATTCACCAGCGTGTTCCTTTATTTGGGAGAGGAGGGGGACCACGAATTGGGCGGTACTGGCGAAAAGGTCAGAGACTGATCAGAAATGAATTACATTTGTGAACTTCGTTCGCAGGTTCACAGCGATGTGACTAACCTGGCCTAACTCCCCGGTGACCACGGTATTATGTCACACTCGTACTGCCAATTTTTTGACCCCGTCCCCTATAACGTTGTCGCGTTTCCATTTACCTATCACTGCATATATGATTAGTCGGTGTTCTGTCTTACTTGCTATTTTTTGACCGGTCTGTGTTAAAAATTTTGTAATTACCCCCCCCCCCCCCATGAAGGGTGCGTGACGTAATTTGTGAACGGCCCATTACCATTCAAACCATTTTTGGTTTGAGGTTTTATGAAGGCAGAAAGGGACAGTGTGTAATGATACAAAATGTGAGTGCACTTTAAAATTTACTTTTATTTTCTGGAGATTTTTCTAATACTTATTTGTGCACAACATGAATTAAAACTTTCAAAACAATAATGAAGAAAAGGCTTTGGCCTTCCTATGGATGGATTCACTGGTACAGATCTGGTACAGCATATATATGTACAAACTTTTTAACACAGAAGCAACAGGGTTTAGGGTACAGGGTCAGGGTATAGTTGACACCTCACTTTCCCTTTGTGAAACTCTTTGGTTTGACAAGTAAAATCACTTGCAACACAGGGTTGTATTGAAGGGGCAAGTGAAGCAACAATTGATTGAACAATGATATTAAGAAATAGCTTTTACAACCAAACAACATTTTTTTGAAGGCTGGTACACAAAAGAAACTCTGAGCACAGCTCTAGACAGCTTTTTACATCTAGATCCCTCTATACACAACAGTGATTAAATTTAATGTTTAAAACATTGAAACTGAGAAATTTAAGAATCTCTCGACGCAGAATACTGTTTCATTAAACACTAATGCTTTCAGCAGGCAGTGCAACAACCGATAAAAGGCTACATTCATTAATCACAGGTAGGTTTTTCATTCAAACAAATATGA